GGAGTTGTCGTCGATGGCGTTCCCTGGACGCAGACCTCCGGTTGGTAAACTCGCTGGAGTCCCTGACCGCCTCGCGGGACGTCGCCGACGTGTGCCGCTATCTGGGCGCCATTCTTCTGGCTATCCACCGGTCCGAAGGAGAGAGGTCGGGATTCTGGGAAACGCCGGAGGGTTTAGAGCGTCGGGCCGCTGAACGAGAGGTATATGCGAATGTGTGCCGTCAGGACGGCCTGAGCTTCGACATGATGGACCTGGATTAGGCTTCGGCGGGTCGTTGGTCGTCTTTCGGCGACCTCGGCCGGAGTTCCCCGTCTACTCGGGTCTCGGCGTTCGGGTATCCTCATCCTCTCGTCTGCTGTCGTCGTTCGCGCGCCCTGTCAAATCGGCCTTTTCTCGTAGGGCGCCCCCGTGGTGGTTCGGACCGTATCGTGTTGTTTTTTTTTTGTCTATGTATTTGACTTTTTTGTATTCCTTTTCGCTGTCTTGCAATCGATCGATTCATCTTGCGCTCGTTCGTTGTTGTGATGGAGGAAGAAAGAGATTTATTACTGGGGACAGAGGCCCCGCCACAGATTAAGTAGAGCAGATTACGAAAGAGATAAGAGCGGCCCCCAGGGCTCTTGTGCGGAGGGAGGTGTGCCCCATTTCATCAGGCAGAGTGTGCCGGTGGCGCGGGGCGGTTCGAGACGATTTTCGGACCGGGGTTCGGCCGTACGCGGGGAGGGGCGGTGAGTTGTTGAGGCGTCGGCGCTTTGCGGCGGGCCCGGCGCCATGGGCCGGGCAAGCGTGTTCCATGTGCCGATGGTGCTCGTCCAGGGAGACCCGCCTAGGGGTACCCCACTTCAGGGCGGGCTCCTTTCTCCCGTAGAGGACGCGGTTAAAGACCACGGGTTGGGCTTCGAGAGTGCGCCCGTATAGGTAGGCAAGGGAGGCGATGACGATAGCCACGATCGTAGCCCACGCCGGGAGTGCGATAACGGTGGTAGCGTCCATTCTGTTGCGGGTGTAGGGGGATCGCTTAGATTCTGTCAGACTGTGGGTCGGGCCGTGCAAGGACTTCTCCTAAGAACGCGCGCCCGGAACAGAACAGACGAATAGTCGGGCCCGCAAGTATGGCGGGCGGGGTAGATCGAAACCGAAAGGGCCCGTGAACTCGGTCCCTTGCCGTAGTCGGTGGTCGAAGGTTCGAATCGGGTCGTGTCGGGCCCGATGAGTCGATAGCGTCTCCTCGCACGGAGTAAGGTAGTTCTTCAGACGATCTAAGCGATAGAGTACAGGGTACACTATCGCGCCTTATATACGCGGGCCCGCAAAGGGGGTGATCGGACACCCTGGCCTCTCCTCCTCCTCCTCGCTCCCGTTCCTGGCCGCAGAGGGGACGATCGCACATCCCTTGCGGGCCAGGCGCTACTCCTGACCTCCTAGCACTCCTCCCCATTCCCCTGGTGTCGAGTTGGGCTCGGCGACGGCTCGACGCGTCGTTCTCGGTCACGTGCTTCCCACGTGTGCGTTCCTCCTACTGGGGCGCATGTTCCCCGTCGTCACGTGCTGCGTGTTGCGGGCCCGCAATGGCCCGACACCAGCGCCGGAGCGGACGGGCCGGGTCTTATCCGTGACAGATCATGCTTATCCGTGGATTCCTTAGCAAGATATCAAGGGATCATTGTGCCTAGGTAAATTTAAAATATGAAACCTAGAAAAAAACTTGTATAATATTATGATCTCAACCCATGGAACTATAATTACATCAGGACATCCTATGCCTTGATAATTGGCTACCTAGTAGGACAACAATCATCTGAATTCATGTAGACTTAGTAAAGATATTGCAGCATCAATGCATGTGATGAATCATCATGAGATGATATAGGTATAGTAATAAGATTTTATTATCAAGGATAATAATCTTATCATTCAGGTACCCTTGATAGTGCTTCAATGACTTATGTAAGTTGTGTACTTCAAGAGATCAGGTATGGATCAGCTAATGATTGGCTAGTGCTAGCACAATTATTCAGCTGGGACAATACATAAGTCATTTAATGAAAGTTGTTTATATAGTCAAAATACACAACTTTGATTTTGTGATGATCTGTGACATTCACTGATGACTGTACTGTCAAACAGCAAAAAATTCCTTTTTGGAAGTACGTCACACTATGTGACAAATGTAGCAGGCTGACTGAGGACCTGACTTTAACCCAAGTCTGGATAGGATTATATAATGCAATCATATACCACTGTCACATCTGGTTGTTTACGTCCTACGGTACATAACTTATTCATAATCATCAACTGACAAAGTTTCATTTTGAAGGATTTTGTCACATACATTATACTTATACTATGTGACATTGTGACCAGGACAACTGGATCTGACATTCTCATATAGTATACTTTCAAGTTGTTGCTTAAGTAGAGAAAGTATGACTATTATCACTATTTATGTCATATTTGCCAATTTAGGAAACTAACTTAGATAGCAGTGGATTATTACAGCATTAGCAGCGTAGAAGGGACTTAGCGCTAAGGGACTTGAGAACTTAGAGATGTTGCAGAATTATTGGAGTATTTATTGCAGCATAGGGCATTTGGGATCATCCCTTCATGTTAGAATGTGCAGCCCAGCGGGCCGTTCATTCTAATATGAAAGGATAAATGGAATTGGTAGGTGTACGAGGGATAGTATGTAATGAGTAGGAGTAGAATGGAACTTGTGGAATAGGGATGGAGGGTGGGGAAACTTTGAGACACGAGATGAGAAACTGCGAGCACAGTGTGAGACGGTGTGTGTCCACGACGCTCGCGGGCAGTATATATACTGAGAGGAATAGGTCCGAGCAATGTGCTTTGGATTCAAGCGCGGCCACGCGCTTGGGCGTCGTCGTCACGCGTGATTGCTAACGCTGGTCAATCCATCCCCCTCCTAATTGTCCAGTCAGCTAAATTAATCAGCCCTGCATAATTGATGAAAAAATTAATTGGGCTGAGATCTGTGTGATGTGTGTGTATAGAAATAGTACTGTGGGCAATTTTAGTGTGACATGGCCTATGGAAATTGGAATTCAAAGGATTCCCTTATTTGGAAATTTGACACTGAAGGTACCAGAAAGAATATCAAATTACCATTTTCAAAGATGAAATTCAAGAAATCATGTGACCTGCAAAAAACTGTATAATACATAGGTATAACATGTGAGTGTTGAAATGAGTGAAATACTACAGTATCATAATATAATCCCGGGTCTATACAATAAAACATTAGAATAAGTCCTAGCTGGCCTCGAGTTCTTGTGGCTAATATCATGTCTCTGTAAGGGCAAACTAGGAGGCCCAAGATTAAGGTTCCAGCAGAGGAGAATCCAAAGATAAGAAACTCCAAGTGTGTACTAGTACCTGCCACACAGCTGACTATATACTGCAATATTGATCGACCACAAGTGATTGTTGCTGTAAGCAGTATGCTTATGCCATATTATATGCCAGTGTTGAAGATCGACGGGTCATGGGTGTGACTCGCCGCGAACCTTCCAGAGCCTTCCACTTGTGTGCTTACTGATCATTAGAAAACTGTAGAATATCCTAGTACAATTAGCCTGTAGTATATAAACTGAAATGATTCTCAGCATTGGGCATCGTTTGCCCTAACGCATTGAACCCTCACCGGTTTGCGATTGCAAACTCTCGCCGACTTTGATCCCATCGCTCCCGCGATAACCTCGGAAATTCAACAGCCAGGTCCCAGAGGGATTGTCCAGAAGACTGCCAGGTGGCAGTGGTGATGTACCTGATGGAGTCAGTAAAGTACTGTAGTAATTTATTCAATTTGGTGCCCAAAAAATTAAAATGGTGTGACATTGGCACCGAGATTAAATGTTCAGCACTGCCTGGTGATGTGCGTGACAGTGGAAAATTTTCAGTGTACTTATTTAGTGGCTGCCAAAATTTCTTTGATGCTCTGATAGTCATTTGACATTTGACATCTGGGCTGTAGTTTTGGTGTCGGAGTTGATGCATGACTGCTGAATTGAATGAATTGCTACAGTATGGGCAGAGGTAGAGGTGGACCAGAGATGGAGACATTTTTGAGAGTCAGAAAGGGAGGTTCCCCTGACAGTCTCTAAACTGTAGGCAATGAATCAAAGATGCCTAGAGTACACTAAGTATCTAATATATTTTTGTGTACAAATTTCCTGATTCATCTTGAGAGAAAGAGCCTCATCTGAATCCAGTGTATTATATTCAAGCTTGACTTTTTCGCTTGTTTATTTACACCCAAGTATATAATATCTGATTACAAATCTTCAAGCTAGCCAGAGGCTATATACAAGTTGTCGATGCAAAACTGGAGAGATGCCTGATTATCTATCTAGCAGTTCTCAAGGATTTTCTCTCTCTTGCTCTCTGTTTTTGTAAATATTATTCAAAGAAAAAAATGTTATTATTCTTGCTATGTGTTACAGTAAATTAGGTGTAAACTTGACATTTGTTGAGACCTTTTTGGTATATGGTTGCATGTCTTTCTTAGTACTTATTCATGGACAATCAAGAGGTTTTACCCACTGTACAACAAGGAAATCCCTAAATTTCCTAGGAAAAGCCTTGAAAGTTATATTTCTGGAATTTAGACCCCAGTTCAGAAGGCTCTTGTTTGGAGCTGCTAATAATCTCTGCTCCGTCAAAAAATGTCCTATTTGTATGTTAGCATCTTCTGTGAGAGTCAAAAACAGCACAAAAACTGGAGATTTGTTTGCTGACTTTCCTTTGTACAAGCTTGAACATGGAGGGACATGTCAAACTGTTTGTTTTCGTAGAAATTGACGCCGGACGGAAAAGCAATCAGTTTAGCTTGAGTTTGGCTCACCAAAAACTTTTCTTCCATTGAAAACTCAGGTTTTCATTCTGCGACTTGATAAATTTGAGAAATTGAAGTATTGGGCAATTTACAAAGTGTTACAGTACCATATGGATAGTTTGTCGCTAACTATGTACATACTCGTTCAAGTTTCCGCTTCGTCTTCAGATTCCGGCTCGTCGGAATCAACCTCAATGGCGAGTGCCATTCCCGCTTGCGTGGTGCGCAGAAACTCCCTGTTCTTGTTGCGTTCTCTGCGCTCAAGAACCGGATTCCACTCATACTCTCCGCGCTGAACCACGCCCATCGCGTCCATCGCCTTGAACAGCTGCTCCATCACCCCTTTATGGATGGTCGAGTAAAGAAGACCGCCGTCATCGCGGAACACCAGACGCCGGAGTGGATTGGCCCGCGTCATATCAAAGCTTGCGCGGCGAAGCTTGACATAGGCGTAGAGCACGGAAAGAGCGTCGACCAGCCATATTCCACCATCATCCTGCTGGTCGCGCTCATAGGAGCGGATGATATCGACCTGTACAGTGTATAGCGGTGGTGCATTGTCGCTCAGCTTACAGAGCGCGGCACACAGGCCCTCCATAGTGCGCGTGCTGTGTGAGGTTTCGCTAGCCCAGACGCGGACGAAGCGGAGACCGGGGAGCAGCTGGAGAATAGCGCGCCACGACGCTTCGCTAAGGCACTGAGCACCAGCATCGATTTGCGTGATCGCACCTGCAAGCGCTGCGTGCAAAAACTTGGTGACAATTTGGCGCAGACAACGCTCGTTTTTGGGATGGGTGTTCAGCGAGAGGAAGGGTGTGTGGATGGCCGTTCTTGATTCGGGGGCGCGATAGAGCTCCACATTACATACCAACCCAGCAGCAGCGTCATCCTCGTCTCTGAAATAGGCGAAGAGGGAGAGCTTTTGGAGGTTGGGGCCATTGGCAGCACGGAGATGGTGTCGTAGCGGGATAATTATGTCACGAATGTCGAAGCCGTTTTCGATTACAAGGGGGACGAGGTCGATGACGGTGGTGGAAGGGAATTTGAGGTCGTTAATCAGCATCGTGATGGGTAGGATGTCCGCAAGGAGGTAGATATACTTCATGCGCGGTAGGTTGACTGTCTCCGCGTCCGAAATGGGAAGAAGCGGCTCTTGTGGCGTGAAGGAAAGTTTGGATAGGTGTGGAGAAGCCGCCGCTAGACGTAGCACATCACCGACGCTTGGCGGAACGTCGGATGCCGTATTCGCACAGTCTTCCAGTTTGAGCTCCTCGAGACCGCCGATATGATTCCACGCCAAAGCGACGTACGAAAGCGACAGAATGCGCAGATTGGGAAGATGGCCATCGAGCAGGATATCGGGGATCGCCATCCTTCTTCCCTGCGGGAGCTCCTCTTGCTTGTAGTGTCCGCCAATGGTGAGAGAGTGCAAGGAAGTGAGAGAGAGGTGAGGCAGAAGATTGATGATATCCAGGACATTGCTCGCAACACCGTCGAATTCCAGGGATGCTATCCGTGCCGAGTAGCTACCCAAAAGATGCTGCATGCGTAGGACATCCTCGTAGACACTCCCTCTAACGGTCAGAGGTGCAACACCGGACCGTCGGATTTATTCCACCATCCACGAAATAGTGCGACCATGATTGGTGTCGATGTATGCCCATAGCTTCTGCTCAGCCCGCACCACCTCGCACCAGCGGCGGCACACCATCATGACCCTGGTCCATCTGAGGTCGTATAGCGAGTCCGTCTGTCGCGCGTATTCGTCGATAATGCGACAAAGGAGTTCGTTGGGCAGTGCGGAAAGTGGGACGAGCGTGTTTCGCTTGCTCTGTAGCGCTGTTACCTCGGCATACAGCTGCTTTAAGCGGATGTCGATTTCAGCGATGGTGTCGGGAAGGTCGCTGGGGTAGAAGTTGAGTAGGCGAGCCGGTGTAAGTATATTGGAGACATACAAGGCTGGGTCGGCAGCCATGAGCGTCGCGCCCATCCAGCTGCCACAAGGCCTCGATGACGGTTAACTGAGACCTTGGTCACAGCTGTCACGCGTCGATCCCTGATTCCGTCACCGCATAGCTCCGCGGTTCGATCCCCGGACCCAGAGAAATATTTCTATTTATTCTTTCTGATCGTCATTGGGCTTTATACACGAGAGAAATGTTGACTTAAGAGCTACTATGTATAAAACCATGTCTCCTCATCCAGAACGAAAGCTTCAAGCCGGTGCACTGAATTTTCTTTGGATCTTCTTTGACCAGCACCGCCCCGTCACACGTTACTGATCTTGCAGATCCTTTGTCTTACACCCCCATCTCGTCTCTAGACCGGCTCCGGAGGGTCGTCAACCTACCTCACAGTTCTCTAATCCGGTACAATACACTATGGAGTTCAATTTTAACGAATATTTGAACGATTTGGTACGCACACATCCTGTCATTCATGGCGATACTGACTGCGACTAGGCGGGGCCAGTGCTTCCGCCCAAGCGGGAGCGGACGGAAAAGAAGGAGCCCAGTGAATTTGCAATGTAAATGTGATACTTTTCTGACAAGTTCCAGTCTTCAAAATCATGCCGTTTGCCTTTTCCATGGGCTCGATGCAGCGCAACGTGTTCTTTGAGCACTACCGCAACGACAGCCTGGAGCGGTCCTTTCTGACGCTGGGAACATCATACCAGGACGAACAGGCATGTCCTCTCGCTGTTTGTCATCTTTCTGACCCTCTTCAAAGGAGTTTTTCTTTCGCCTCCAGTTTGCCGACTACCGCGACTATGAGGAAGATGATGACCCCTGGCCAAGTAAGTCGTGTAAGTATCCCCGAATCTACAAAGATTGACCCCGGACAGCTCTCCATGGCACCTGTGCCATCGACGATGTCGAGTTCGTGCATCTCGAAAAGTCCATAGACGGCCGCTTCCTCGAGGGGCGGCTAATTTTCACCCTTCGTCGGCCGCCGCAACTCGACGTGGATACGCGACGCCACCCTTCGCGGCCAGAAGGAATAAGGAGGGCCACTGAACTCGATTGGTCCCCCGACGGTGCACAGGAACTCTACAGTGGAGCACCAAGTACAATGCCTCGCGGATGGCATGTCCGGGCGCCCATGAAAGTGTGTCGCATGCTAAACTTCCGCTTTTCCTTGCTCATGGCGTTCAGTTCGGTCTTTGGCTGACGTATAGCTTCTCGTTTGGCTGTCGTCGCGAAGACTACGACCGCGTCGTAAACGCCCTGTCTCGCCTCCGCACTCTCCGCCGGCCGGGGATGGAGGAGATAGCAGTTATCAGTGCCGACATCCATCCTGTTTCGCGAAAAATCAAGATCGAAAGTGCGAAACCTGGACGAGCCAACATGATGGTAGGGGAGCAACGCGACTTTCCTGACCTTGAAGACATGATGAATCGTGCGAACCGCAAGTGCTCCTTTGAGGTGCAGTATCTCATCCTCGGTCTCGTCTCTCACGGTCTTATTCTACCTATTGAAGGTATATATCATATTCCACTCATTTCCATGACGCTGACTGTTGATTTCAGTCGGTGACCTACTTCACTACTTGCTTGTCCTGCAGCATCCTGCTGCCGCGCTTCGAAGCCTATTCCGTCTTCCGCGAAGAGCCCTCGCTGGGACGGACGCCATCAAGCAGCAAGTCCGCAACGTCTCCCGCGCCTCTCCGCTTCGGATCCCAAAAGACAGGGTAGCCATGCGCCGCGCGGTCATAACACCCACCCGAGTATTACTCTTTCCAGAGGTCATCGAGATGGGAAACCGGGTCGTCCGGGCGTGGCCGAAGCAGATGGAGGAAGGCCGCTTTATCCGTGTCGGGTTCGCAGACGAAGACGGTCGGTTACGCGTAAATAAGAAGATATTGGATGGGGATGTGGGTGTCTTTTTCTCTTGGTTGGCACCTCATTGACACCGTGCGGTAGTACAACGACCCGGAAGGGGGTATCCTCGCTCGCATCCGGAATGTCCTTCGAAATGGGGTCTACATCGCTGGTCGACATTTCGTGTAAGACTCTGCAATCGTACAGCGTTCTTTACTGAATGTGAGTAGCTTCCTGGCCGCTGGTGAATCACAGCTCAAGGACCACTCCTGCTGGATGGTATGTGAGGACGGCGACTTTACGGCGAACCGCATTCGTGCCCTTATGGGCGACTTTTCGAAGGAGAAAGTTGGTAAGTGCCGATTGTCTCTTCATAACTTACACTTCTGTTAACCAGAATACAGTGGCCAAATACGCCGCACGTATGGGCCTCTGCCTTAGTGCCACTTGTCCAGTCGATGAGCTCGAGGAGGATGACATCGACCTGATTGAGGATGTGCAGCACGGAAAGTAGTAAGTGATTTCTCTGTCCTTGGGTACCGTTCTCACCCATCCAGTGTGTTTACTGACGGCGTCGGAAACTGCAGTCAATCCCTTGCCAATCGCGCTGCCGATGTCCTCGGGAGCGACAGAAGGAACCCCTCTGCCGTCCAGATACGCATGGGCGGGTGAGAACTCCCCCCCTTTTTTTGCGTTCAATACTCGAATTCAAGTCGTCATTGTAGTGTCAAGGGCGTTCTTTCCGTGCACCCCCATCTTGAAGACAACCAGATCTGCATTCGGCCGTCGATGCAGAAATTCGATTCGCCCCTCCGTGGTCTGGGCGTGATGAAGGTTTCCGGGTTTGCCCCGGCCCACCTCAACCGACAGGCAATATGCATAATGGAGGCGCTTGGTGTCGACATCACCAAGCTGATGGGGTCGTATCAGCAGCAAATCCAGCGCGCAGAGAACATAGAGCGGGACTTCGCCGTCCTTGACACAGGCCGGCATCCCGCCCGACATCTCTACAAGAACGCGTTCGTCCCGGTCCTCAAAATGGTCAAGGCTGGGCTGGGAAGCGAGGTCTTGCTGCAAAATGTGCTGGCGTGCTTAAAATGCCAGATGTTGCGGGAGCTCAAGTACAAAGCAGTGAGTACTCATCTTAGAAGAGGACGTTCGCATCTAACGTGGTGATAGCGCGTTTTGGTCAATGGCGGAGCATATCTCATTGGTGTGGCCGATGAATACGAGTGGGCTTCGCTAGCGCTCTTAATGGTTGTCAATCTCATTCTGTCGCAGCGTTCTCGAGGAAGGCCAGATATACTGCGCCGTTACCCCCCAAGGGCAACAACACGCGACGGGTTATAACTGGGCAATGCACCATATTCCGCTCGCCTTGTGTCCACCCCGGCGACGCGCGCCTGGTTACTGCCGTCAACCACGCGCACTTCGAAAAGTACCCTCTGACGAACGTGGTTGTCTTCAGCGCGAAGGCCGCGAAGCGCGATCTGCCATCTATGTACGTGGACTCGAAATATCAATGCATATCACTGATATTTCGCAGGCTGGGTGGTATGTACTCGTGTCTATGGTGATTTTTTCTCATCGTTTCCTCTCAATCAAGGCGGAGACCTGGATGGTATGATCTCCTAGTCGTTGTTTCGTTGCTCATTGTTTCAGGTGACTTTTTCACCGTCATTTACGATCCCAACCTCCAGTTTGCCTCTGCTTTACACCTCATCATCATTCTCAAAACTATCTAGAATAACGCGCGAATACGAGCCGATGGACTATTCTCCTGTGGAGCAACCGGTCAAGAAGGACAACATCAGCATTCAGGATGTACAGGACTTTGTTGTTGGTGAGTAGCTTGACCCAATCTTATCCGCTCGGCTGGCTCAGGCTCGCGCACAGAGTACATAACCGGCGACGTCCTTGGCATGGTTTCAAACTTTCACGCTGCAGTCGCGGACTATCTCGGTCCAATGAGTCCGCAATGTCTCGAGCTTGCGAAACGGGCGTCGGACGCCGTGGACTTCGCGAAGTCGGGCGTGCCGGTGTTGATTGAAGAGAGCATGCGACCTATCCGCTTCCCCGACTTCATGGACAAGGGCGCCCACGAGAGCTACAAGAGCACAAAGGTGCTCGGGATGATGTACCGAATGATTGAGCCCGCGCCGACATACGAGCCGTCTGTTAGCGGACATTTCGATACGCGGCTGGTAAGGAAGAGGGTTTTGGGACACTATCTGCAGCGGGCGGGACAGATGAAGCATAACGTGCGTGGTTGTGCCCCGTTGGCTCTCGCTGATGAAAAACAGTATGATGTCGATATGGAGGGTCTCATGAGACAGCACAACTTGTGCGAGGCGGAAATCATCGCGGGCGTGTCGGTGATGAGCGAGCAGCGGAAGCGCAGGGCCGCGGACGATGCGATGAGGGTATAGCTTGGGTAACCCGTTTCTCCTCGCTGACGAATTGGCAGGGCCCGGTCCGGGAAGGCATGGAGGCCATCCGCGCTACATATCGGCGTCAAGCGCGGGCCTTCGTCAAAGAAAACCCTAGTGGAGGCGGTATGGAGGGCTGGGCAATCGCTGCATACCAGGTTACCCATGTTGCCGACATGCGGCATCGCTATGTCGACGCGCTGAATCAGAGCCGGCTTGGGTCGGCCGCGGTGTCCATGTCTGGCCACAGTGCTTATGATGACTGGGAGGACGACGACCAGGCTTTCAGCGACGTAAGCAGAAAGGAGATGATATCGTTCCCGTGGTTGTGGGCTCAAGGCAAGTCCCGTTGTCCTGGGACAAGACTATATCGCTGACGAGCCGATAAGAAATATGTTTCTCGCTGGAGGACCACGATGTGATTAAGGAGGAGGAAGAACCTGAGTCAGAAGATGAGGAGCGAGATGAAGAACGCCATTGGATTGAGCAATGGCGCAAAGGGGCAGACGACAGTGATTCGGAGGACGTGAAGAAGCCTTTTGCTGACCTTCCTCCCACTCCCGTTGCGGTACCCGCTCGACACCGCATGACGGTTCCGCCTGTTATGAAACGGGAGGAGCCAGAACTGGCGCTCTTGGAGCAGGACAAGGCGGACGAGGTCGAGGTTGCTGACGCTATCAGCATCCACGATAGCGATGACGAGTCGGACACGATGTCTGGCTCAGAGTCAGTGGGGCCTGTGAAGGAGGAGGACACCGACGGTATCGAGTATCTAAGAACCACTCATCGTATATTTGACGTCGACGAGTAGATTTTTCGCCCTTCTTTTGATGTAGATCTATATTTCCATATTTGGACAGCAATCTGCGGAATTACGTTGTCACCTGACAATTTTGCTCCTTTTCTCCCGACCACCATGCAGGGTGCCGAGGTGCGTGTGGCTGGGCGTACCGGCGGGCAGCAGCTTACACGCAGACAGGCACTCGAAGCGATTGTGGGCCACCGCGTCCGGCTGGACGGCGTCTTATCGGCCAACGTGGCCATCCAGCATGTGGGGCTTGCGCTGTGGCTTGAAAGCAAGTCGGGCTGACGGACCGTTTTAGGCACTCGACTCGTACAGCAGCCATCCCATAACGGCGACGGACGCGGCATTGAAGCAGATGGACGAGCAGGCATCGGCGCAGCAGGTGTGTCTCCAATGGGCTTTTCTTATGGCCACTCTGACAGTGTCGAGCAGGAGTACAACGAGCTGCAAGACTCTGCATCCAATTCCCTCACCACCGACGACATCCGCCTGCACATTCGGGAGCGTAGAGCCGCCATTGGGGCGCTGGAGGCGGAGAATGCCGTTGCTGAAGAAGCACAAGACCAGGAGCTCTTGGTGTGTCCCTCAGACCATGCATGCTATCGATTGTCTGACCCAAGGCGAAGAAACGGCTTGCAGAAGTCTATGATGTGCGTGCGCGGCCCTCACCACAAGCACTCCTCTCATATTCCCCCCATAGAGTTTGGCTGACGACAAATCGATTCGAAACCCGCCTAAAACGACCCAGGAGCTTGTCAGGTGGCTCAGCGACCAAACCGATATCGCGCAAACGAGACAGAAGGAGATGCTCGAGGTGCGTGGTGGCTGTTGTGCTGTGGGCAAGAAGCCTCATTACTCGTCATAGGCGATCGAGAGGGCGGACAAGGTTGCTGCGAATCCCGGGGTACGAGACGTGTTGACTATGCGTCTAACGCTGCAGGAGGTGTGTTTCCCATATCCAAACGATGGGTTTATTGACGATGTCAGGATATCATCCAATTACGGCTGAAGGCCGCGACAATAATGCGGAGAACTGCTGTCGGAATGCAAGCCATCGAGCTGGTTAAGGTGGAGACGGCTCATGCCATCGCGCGGGCGAGGGGAATGTGGTTAAAGAGGGACATTCAGGCCGAGTTTAAGGCTGCTCAAAAGGTATCGTTATTCTTTTCCCTGTCCATCTCGTCTTATGCCGAAGCAGGAGCTGGCCTTTGCGAAACGGAACGCGAAGTCCAATGGCGTGAAACGGAAATCCATTTCGGAGGCCCCTCCAAGTTCTCCCAAACGGCCAAGGCGGGAAGCAGCACCGTCATTTGGGTCCCCAGGTCCAAGCACAGCTCCGTCAATGACACCGCCAACGACGACAGCGATATCAACGACGCCAAAGCCTTCAACGGCCGCGAAGCCTCCAGCGACAACAAAGACATCCGCGACTACCAAACCGACAACAACAACGATCGCAAAGCCATCGACGACGACGAAATCGGCGACAATGGCCAGCACATCGGCGTCGTCCTCCCTACCTCCAAGGCTGGCGAAGTTGGCATTGAGTGGCAAGCCACGCACAGCAGTCCCTGCACCCTTGCCTGTTGGCGAGCTACCGACTCCCCCAGTGCCGTTTACGGACTGGGGCGACTTTTACCAAAGCGACGAGAGCCTTTTGGATATGGCACAAGCGCAATCGCGGGCACAAGCGAGCATGGATCCAAGGACGGATTTGAAGCGTTTCGTATGTCTTGCCGTTCTTCCTTTTTGCTGGCGTTTATATGATCTGCAGCGGGCCTCGTATGGCCCCATCGTCGTTATGAAGGTCTGTCGTCGTTTGCACAATGCCGTCTGGGTGCTTATTTCCGCTGCAGCGGCCGTGCGGGATATGCGTCAAGTATGATCTGCCGTGTCTCTACGTGGACACCGCACAGAACCCGTTCCACCCGCCCGGCAAGCCGCCGCGCTGCATTGTGTGCCAGGAGTGGAAGTTCCACTGCAACCCCCGCGCGGGAAGCAGCGCAGACCAGGCGGCCCATGTCCATGCGGGTGAGGCGCTTCTTGCGCGAGCGTCATGTGCTGACTTTGACGGCAGAGCATATCGTGGGGTACCATAATGCTGCGATCGCGGCGGGCGAGCGGCCGGGGATGTGGATGGGCAAGGGCGTCGCGGAGCTCAAGCTTGTCGGGTCGAAGAGGCTGCGGGTCAAGTCCTATAACAAGGACGAGTGAGTTATTATACCAGCGTATATTTGGCGCGGTTACTTATGGGTGGACACTATTGCCGACGTGTTATTGTCCTTGGTATCTTGTACTTCTCTGACGTCTCTGTATTAGTACTTGCGTCGGCGTTTTATGTGGCCACGTTATGGTGATTGGATATGCACCACCATCACTGCACCTTTTCATTGACTCCCCCCCTCAAGTTGAACTAAGTGGAAATGGTAAGAAAACATTTTTAAAATGGTGAAAAGTGGTAATATGATTATATAATATTAATACCATAAAATGCTGAAAAATTTTATGGTAAGCATGAATGATTACTTTAAGGCATTGGTAAATGTTATTCTTTATTTGTATAAATATACACTGGCAAACATTTGCATAATATATTATAAACATACATTAACATCCAATACTATATATACATTTGCCTTCAGAGACAGATATCAGACACTAAATATGATTATTAATCATATAATTGCATTTACTTTAGGCCTACTCTTGCATTAATTGTCTGTGACTTTTGCCCACCTAGTAGAGATGCAGGGAGTACAAATGTCATTTGTGTAAACCATGCAACTTCTTCAGATGCTTCCGATGCAATATCAATCCTGGAGAATCCCTCAAATTCATGTACTCTGCCAGTGCTGCATGAATTATATTTTATATTAGAACAGATATATCTGCTAAAATATCACATACTGGTTTTTTCTATTATGGTCCCTACTGCAGGAATCATTATAAGCTTTGAGACCCTGCAGGATTTTGGATCCTGTAGGATTTGAGCTACTCCAGAAGGTTGCTACACCATCAGAGAAAATATGGCATGACTACCAATCCCATCAGCAGCTTCAGGAATTTGGTAGACTAGATTCCAAATTAAGGTTTTTCTTTAGACTATTAGCAGCACATACATACTTGGAAGTCCCTTCAAGGTCAGAGCCTTAATCATATCATCTAGCAATATTGCTGGGGCAGCCATGGCAGCTACTGTTTTAGCAGATATGTGGCAATGAATCTCTTCATTTTGAAGGTATATTGCTTGTCCTGGAAAAATTTCCAATGTCAAGCAGTGGGTAGAAGGGTTGATCCAGAATGTGAACATAGATGAGCTCTGTTTGATGTTTAGTAAGTTGTACAATAAAGTCATCCATAAGCCTACAATTGATGGGAGCTGTAATCTATAGACCAGGTAGGGTGCAATCTTCTGAGGCAAGTCTGAATTTATATAGGCAGGTGAAAATTTTCAATAAGTTCTAACCAGGAATTCGCGCATCTAGCTCAGATATATAAGTGGCAAAAGTATCCCATGCATGGAAACTCACAAGATAGAAGCGGTAATAGAGTACACCAATAATAGACTTTTCTGCAAAAATTTGTTGAGGAGGTACAAGGTCTATAGTTAATATAACTAACAAGTTTCACTTGATTAGTGCCACTCACTATCATGAAATATTGCCGCATAAAGTCCTTGGTGACTTGCTGTCCCAAATAATTGCAGCACAGCAGGGTTACTCCAGGGGCAATAAGATCAAGGTGAGATAATCTGGAATTTATAATACCGAAAGTTGGAATATTTTTGAGCCGCTGCAGACCATTCCTAGGGAATGTATATATTCAATATTGATTAAGGCTCTGAAATGATGCTCACTTGCTTGGCACCATGACCTTCATACAGTGCGACACTCATATGTGAAGGTGAGCCATATATCTTGGCTGCATACATCGACCGAGAGGTTGATGGTTCCCGTCGGGCAATGACATGTTTCGAGTCAGATATTGAGCACAAGTGCAGTCGTTGCAGGTTCAAGTCGCCCCACCGAAGCCTGCGAAAATCGGGCACAAAATCCACTGCCATGATGTCTGAGCTAGCATGAGCAAGATTGGTTTTTCACAATGCCCGCAGAGAGCAGCTTACCATCGATGTCAGATTCCGAAAGTCCGTGTCCATGTTGCTTTGGGAAGTGGAAGTTGTAGGATGTAGCGGTGAAGGAGCCGCCGTGGACACTGAAGTTGCTTGAGTCCGAGAAGAATTGATTCTGGACAAGCTGGCGCGGCTGCCTGTCGGTTTGAGGAAGCAGGTTCCTCCCGACGACACGTGTCGGTATCGCTGTGATGGATACATCGTCATTATGCATTTCGAATGGCTTGCGATGCTCTCCCTGAACTCCCAATTAGCGATGGGTGAACGGCCCTTCGTTGGCGATTATAACGGGCACCAAGGCAAATGATCGTCGGAGTCAAGAAGGAAGGAAGATTGATCATCCATCACGGATCATTACATGACACGTATCAATGATTTGTCACGTCACCGACTTTCGCGTTGACCACAACGTTGACCCCAACAGTCCAACGGGTGTCTAGCCTATCAAAGCTGACGCGTCGCGCTAGCGCTCTGGCCTAAAGATCGCCTCTCCGCTTGCTCTCACCCCTCCATGTCGACGCTAACATCCTCTGCCATCTCTTTCTCGTCTCTTCATGAACTTTGCCGACACAATCTGCCTCCTCCCTCGCACCTCCCGGATGGTCTTGCCGCGATTTCGGCTGAAATGAAGAGCTACGACGCCGAGATAATGCAGCGGCAAGCCCGACTGACGGTACTTAGGGCTGAGATGGCGGACTTGGAGGCGCAGATAAGGGAGCTCAATGCCCTTCGTGGGCAGTGGGAACCAATCCAAGCTGCAGCGCAGAGCTTGTACTCCCCTGTTCGAAGACTCCCCACCGAAATCCTTGTCGTCATATTCCGCCACTTCTGGCTTGCGTTTTTAGCTGCAGACGAGACCGCCAAAGTGTCCTCTGTCGACCCGAGGTTCAGCGCATGCTTACCAGAGCTTCTAGTGGTAGCCTTTGCCCCGTTGCTCACCCTCTCGCAAGTCTGCTTCCGGTGGAACACTGTCGTCATGAACACTCCCGATTTGTGGACGGAATTCCGAATCAATTGCTCAGCGTGGGGTGGCAGGCCTAGAAAGAGTTTAAAACACAAGGAGCCGGGAACTCAGCGGTCTGTGAACAAGATGCAACTGCTCCTTGAACTGGCACTCCGCCGCTCGCAACAATCCGCGTGGCATGTCGAAATATATCATGAGGGCTTTCACGCATGGCGAATGGGACTGGAACAGGCTGGTGCACTCGCACTTTCCACGCTCGGTGCGACATCCAACCGCTGGAGGACCGCCGTTTTCTCTTGTTCTGCTGCAGACGTGCTAGCGTGCGGGCTCAGTCCGGGACAGATGGGCTGCCTGGAGAGGCTCGAAATACATCTCGAGCAGGGGCACGAGGAGTGGGGAACCACGGCCTTCTCATATTTCCGGGATGCCCCGAAGCTGCGCGCGGTGACATACACTGCCATGGCTCGCGCGGAGACTTCCCTAGAGGCGCTACCGTTGGAGCAGCTAGAGGAGGTCATATACAACAGGGTTTTTCCCGACGAGATCCGTCCTGTCCTACAATGCCTCCCAAAGCTATCAAGCTCGGTGCATATAAACCTTGATATATCCAATTCGTCAACATTATACAACCATCGCCTGGCCTTCGCCAACTTGAATCTAGATGGAGCTCATTCCTTATCCCGGCTCAAATCGCTTAGCCTCAGCATCAACAACGACACACACTGGGATTCAGATAGTCGAGACTTCAGCCAGACCCTCCTCGATGTATTCTTCTCGTCTATAACCGTACCCAGGCTCGCCACCTTGCGCTTAGAATGCCCGCAATATCCCGCCTCTACTTTCCCATGGCCTAGTACAGCCTTTCTCGACCTCGGTACACGATCGGATTTTCATATACATCTCCATACCCTCGACATCCGACAGATATCCATCGATGGGGTCGAGCTGTTGTCCCCGCTCACCGTGCTTCATAACCTCCAAACACTTGTCTTCTCCGACTTCGTGGGTAGTAATGGAGACAACGCTGTTAGGAATGCCACGAACTTGAACGGCACGATCCTTTCCAGCGAGCTCCTCCACCGGCTGACACAATTCGTCCGCTCCGAAAACCCTCTCGTACAGCCGATGCACCAGCTCGTTCCGCACCTGCACACATTTCGCTACACGACTCAGCTGTCGTTCGACCACCAGAGGTTTCTCGAATTTGTCGCATCTCGGAGCCGGCGGTCGGAGGGGCAAGCGTTTGCGGTACGGCTTTCTTGGCTTCCGTTGGAGGATGGCTCTGAGCCAGGTCTCAAGCCTGAGATCAACGCTGAATTGCGACGGCTCCACGGACAAGGCGAGATAAATTTCTGTCTGGTGAAGGACGAGTGATAGGCGGTAAAAAGTGCGCGTACATATTCTATGCCAGACATAACTTGCAAACGGTAGGGCCACTTGTGGAGCTTAGCAGAGTAATCACAAGTACCAGAAACTAGATATAAGCCAGTACTGTATGTAAGTCATCGAAAATCATAGACACCAAAGCTGGAAAGTAGATTGCGAGTAGGTCAAGAAAGCGGTGGGTAGGGAGTATATAGGAAGTGGTAAAAAAAGAAGATATGCGAAGATGCAAAGGGTTCATAGGGTTAGCGGCACGATTATCGGAAAGAAACAGACATCGTCCATTCGCAGGTCAATAGCCGTCTTCCGCGCGGTTATTGTCTGCGACCCAGCCTGTGTAGTACCACAGCTTCAAAACGCTGAGCACTCTTCGGTGCCCTGGGTGCCCCAGCCAGATAATGGCTAATTTCGTGTCCCCGTGGGTCGAAAGAGCACGAAGACCATTTGAACAGCGTATATAGCCGATTGAGAGCCCGTGACTGCACCAGGATGTCTCCCTCAAGGACTGAATACAGTTGGGGAAGCTCCAGCAGCAAGCTGGAAGAACTCGTGTCCCATTTGCTGAAGATGCGCCAGGTAGTGAAAACGGACCGGAGGAGCGCCGAAATGTCCAAAGTTCGGGGCGACACAAATGTTTCGTGATGGGGGTATGGCCATTGATGGGGAGATATGGTGGAAAGAGCGATATATGATGTATCTGGGGAGATGCAAAAATCGCCCGGGCAGCGTGACAGTGAC